ACTCTGACATATGTCTGTTCACATCCCATTGTTCCTTGTCTGAACTTTCTAAGCAACATGGATAGGGTGTGTATTAGAGCCAAAAGATTTAATATCACCAAATCAGCGCATTGTTATTCATTAGTGGACCAACTGCAGAGTCAATACACATTTAATCACAGACTGAAGGCAATTAAAACAGGAGGGGGGCCAGTAGTGCTATGTTAATTAAAGTGCCAGGCTCCCATGGGAAGCTCTGTGTCTAAATATCACTACAATCAAGCCCATGCCATAATCCATGATGAGCTATTGCCGTTTACACTCGGCCGCCATGCTGTCAGATCCCCGTCAGCGCAGACAAGAGGGCAAACCTGGGCGGATGATTAAAGAGTTGTGTATCAGCAATGGTCTTTCTAATCCTAATTGACTCGAGGGACATGGGCACAAAGATACTGACATCCTTTCCTTGACAGTTTTAGTAATTGATCAACTATCCTGATGTAGTTTTGAATAGACACAGTGTTATGAAATAATTCAGTCTTTAATACAATATCTTCTTCTGATCATCACAATGGTCATTTTCCTCAAATGTGCTGAGCTGCAACCATCTCTGAGAGACCTCTTGAGAAAACACACATACACACACACACATCTCAGTTCTACATCTTGGAGAGGCTTTTGGTCCATTTCCTTTTTCCATCAGTCACTCAGTGAGTGAGTGAGTGAGGTTCATATCTGCTGCTGTCTTATCTGTATTCCAGGCTGATGGGGAAATTCAAGTTTGGGATTACCTCTGACTGCTGACCCGAGCCCATCTCAGACAACTGGCCAGCCCTGCACTTTCATTATTCTCATGCTTCAAAGCACCATACAACAAAATCTCACACTCTCTTGAGCAGAGCCACGCTGCTGGCATATCTAAAATCCCTGTGTCTGAACGTGCTATCTTTGATTCGTATGCATGAGGATAGAAATTAAAAGCTGATAGGGGGGAAATGTTTTATCTGGTCTACATTAGAGCAGAGCATATATCTTCTACCTTCTACCAGGCAGTTGTCTCCTTCCTGTATGGGCTGAGGGTCCATCCATATGCAGATGGCTAATTTGTAGTGTTTACAGAGGAGCATAGAGGGGGCCGACAACTCATGAAGAGGGCTGAAAAGGGGCTGCCTATGTGTCACCCCAGAAGCCTGGTGGTAAAGCCTGCCCTTCCAGAGCAACAACATAAGTGTCCAATCTGTGTTTGCTTACCCGTGGACACCGATGGCTGAGTCCTGGCCAGGGGCCCGTAAATTTTGCCTTTTTTACAGGCCCTGACAGCTAACAGGCTATTGGGAACAGCGGCCCAATGACACAGCCACTCAACAGATTAGCACCTCATCAGCCTCCTGCGGCTTCGAACAAATACGGTCCCTGCCTCTTTTAAGAGACAATAGGGCCGCCACCGCTAAACAACCCCCCGCCAAGACAGCCCCCACCCTCCTCCAGCCACAGAACTTCCTGGTCTGGTCTTTCTCCGGGCCACAGCTGCATCAAGGGGTCCTTCCCCAGTCCCTGAGCCCACCCCGACCCCAATTGGCAAGATGTGTGTATTTCAGGTGAGCAAATATTGCCACTTGCCTGAGAGTTCAATGGCCAGTCCTTTCAGGGCAGTGGGGGGGGTTGCGTATTGCGCCTGCCTGCTTTGCAACAGGGGTACATGTGGCCTCACACAGCAACCAGTCCACAGGATGGGTCAGGGGAATTCTCCAGGCACAGCTGGAGTCAGCAAATCAAACATACCTATATAGCTCATCTGCATTTTCCCAGACTAGGAAACCATTTCCAGCTTTCATTTCCTCTCTCCACAGCTTTTACAACAAAAGGGTGACTTGATGTCCCAATCAGCCACCACACACACAGATTTGACCTTTTTTTCTACAATACATGGTCTAAAACTCTGACCTCGAAGACATATAATTTAAAGCATAACCTATCTTTTCATCAACTAAAATTCCCTGGAAATTGACACACACAACTCTCACTAGGCAATAGGAGCACATGCAGCGGAATTGAAAGCTGAGCTTGTCAACCATTCATCATGTTTCTGTCTCCACTACACACATTCAAGGTGTAAATGCCCTCTGCAGCTGCATTCATTTGTCATCCAGGTCTTAATGTGGAAAAAAAGATAGGGAAAATACATTGTGTGCTGAGATTGTATTAGAGATTGGAGATAGAGTGTTTCTTGAGACTTGTGCCCTTTGTCAAGGACATGGGAAGAAAAAGTAAAACAGTGTGGGTAGTGTGTGGGTTTCAGTTAGTTGCAGGCAGAAAGCACTGAACAGATGAAGTTAAGCTTTTTGTTGTTTTAGTATCAGACATCACATCATGAGAAATTGTTTAGCATTTCTTAATTCCAGTCAACATTTGTTGAAAACGTACGATAATACTAATTAAATGAATCACTATTTACTGGTCATGACTGACAGACGGCATTGTGAGGATGAAAGGCCACCAGCTGAATGCCACACCAACAAGTCCCTCACAGAAAGGCCAGGCCCACAGCTAAAGAGAACAGGATCAGCTTAGGTAAAGGCTACAGGCCCGTGGATGCAGCCAGCTGTGTATTGGGTCAGAAGATGATGTGTCAGTGCAGACTGAGAACCACCTTGATCCCTGCTGGAAGTCAAACAGAAGTGTGGATAGCCGTGTCCTGGGAGGCCTTCTCTGCCATCACAGTGAAATGGAACTGGCCCAGAAAGTAAACAAGATCTCTCCCCATCTCTCCCCCAAGCCCAGACCAACCTTGTCTGGGTGATAGGTTTTTTCTGTTGTTCTGTTTGTTTGCTTGTTTGGTCTGGAGCCCATGGATACCCAGCATGAAGTAGAGAGGAGAAGCAGAGGAATGGAGGACGTGGAAGAGAGAGGAGAGAGGAGAGGAGGTGCTGGACAAGGATGCATGACACACAGACCTCCCCTTGAGGTGACGAGAGAAGTGCTCAGAAGCTACCAGGCAAAGCTGCTCAACAAATATACACAGACCACAGGATCAGGGCAACAAAGACAGATCGCTGTCTCTAATCCTTCAACAGATGTTATTCCTGACACACATCTGACAGCACAGTCTTAATTCATGTAAATTACCAATCAACCTTTCAAATGTGTTTTATAGTTCACTCTAAAGGAGATTTTTTTATGACTCATCCACTCAAAATCTCTGGCATTTACACAGGTTAACTCTAAATGTGGTGAAGGACAACACATATGATTTGATAATCAAATTTCAGGGGGCAAAAATGAATCTCTGTCCATTTCATAATCACAAAATGTTTCACCAAACCTACTGTTTCAGAAACTTCCACAATCTCCCTCACAATTTCAGTGGATTCACCTACAAAGAGTGACACCCTCTGGCAGCAAAGAGAATTGCTTTCTCCGTGGAGGCTGTGCATGAATTGTCCCCATATGACATTATATTAATATACAGTAAAGATATACAGTATATATTGAGAGTTTAAGCACATGGGGCCTGTATGTTGCTCATTTTTCCCTTCTGATAATGTTAGCTCATAATGTCATAAGTTACACATTTCACACACTAAATATTTTCCTTGTCATTATATTCAAAATAATGCCAACTTGCCATCAGAGAGCACTCTTTGAAATAGTAACTGTACTGCGGTTTACTGTGAGCTTTTATTGTTTAAAGTTTAAAGGCCCACTTAGCATAATATTTATGATGTATAGAAATAGTCTACATTAAATAATCCTCTGGACCACTGGTTCTAAACCAGTCGTAATGTCACAAAATCATGCTCCTCTGAAACTGAGATTTAAAGCAGTCATAGAGAAAATTTGTCCCTTCTGCAGATGAATGTGAAAGCAGTCTTCTCATGTCAAACTCTACATCTTTCTGCACATTGAAAGTCAAATATCCTGACAATATAAAATACACATTAAAATGTTCTCTACTAAAGTGGAATATTGTTTTGAATGGAACAACACTGCATAAAACCCATTTAAGTCTTTGAAGAAAGCCATGAACCACCAGAAATATTACACTTCCATCCAACCAGAGGAGGGAGACATTGCACCTTATTTCCCCAGAACATTTGCACTAATGTCCTTTTCTCTCAACTGCTGAAGATACACATCTTTTCACATTGTATCCTTACATCTGACAAACACAAGCTACTCTAAAGTTGTGGAGGACAGTTTGTATTTATTTAGTTCAAGATCAACTCAGTGAACTCTAACAGGGCTGTTGTATTTGTGCCTGTTGAGACTATAAATGTCTCTGGGGTTAATGGGGTCATCTGGCCTGCTAAGAAGGTCCACATCTTGAAATCATTCAGACTAACAGACACAGGAGAGCAGTATTGAGTATCTTGAAGAGAAAAAGTATCTTCAACTTCTCATCAGTGGCTATTAGAAGATAGCACTATAATAAGGCTAGCCATGATTGCTAACAGTGGTCAGTCGGTATCTACAGTAAGTGCGGTGAACACTGGTGAAGGAATCAAGGAACGCACACTTCAAAGACTTTGCTAAATTAATGACAGCTGTCTATTCTCTGCAGTTTATGGTGAATTTTACCTTCAGACAATAGACCCATTCAGAAGTACAGTGCAGGAATAAGACATTTCATTCATATGGCTGGAGTTGAACACACGTTTGATACTTGAAGGAACTCCATGATAGCATTTATCCTGAGTGATTTCAAAGTCTTCCACAAACCCCCACATCACCACCACCCTCTTTAACTATGTCATTACTCCCTTGTGGTGAGCGACTGGCTCGGCAAACTGCTCGGTGTGGTGCAACAATCACATCCAGCTGCTGAGAATGGGATCTGACATGTGAAACCACTACACACACACACACTCACTCACACACCATGATGCAACATACACAAAACTACAAGCCAGGGCTGCTTATGCATGCATGCATGCTGCGGCACTGAAATCCAGAATCTATTAAAGTCATGAGCACGAACAAGAAGACAGTCAGAACCCGAAGAAAACTTTCATTCTCAGTTAAGAAGATGGGTTTTTATTCCATTGGTATGAACTGAAATATACAAAACACTGACACCTGCCAATCCAGCGGCAACAAAGACAGGGAAAGGACAACAGGAAACAGGAAGGTACTCCCAAAACACACCAATAAAGCAAACTACAAAACTGTAGCACTATAAACTCCCATGTGAACCGAACTGTAATTATACTTAATTTCTACTATGTCTACTGTCTAGACAAAAGGGCTGTCGAAATGGTCCTGACAACATAATAAACAGGATAATGGACACCAATATTTTGTTCTATGTGAAAACCTAAGTTGGCCGCATGTGGCGATGCAACACTTCAGACACCTACAGAGCAACTAAAACACATATTTCAGAATTGGAGTCACATTCAAAAATACTGCAAAAGTACAGAAGAGAGTACACAGACAGATGATGCTCTAACATAGAGTCCATTGCTGATTTTAACCTCATGTTGAACAGAGGTATTGGCTCCATTATTGCATTTACTGAAGGTTCAGGGTTATGGTCTTGTAACACTTTAGAAATTAACAATGTTAATTACGAAAAACAGTTTGGAGACATTGAAATTAAGTTTTTGTTGACGTGATTGGTCAGCGTCTGTTTGTCACTTTGTCCAGGGGACAGTTGATAAAACGTACACACTATAAGCTGCCACTAAACAGATCATACACTCTAACGGTGTGTTGGCTGAAAATACCTGCTGGGATTTGTGACACAGCAGCCAATAGTGTGATAGTGTGACTATCACTCTTTAACTCTCTGCACCCAGACCGGACCCTCGAAAGCTGTTTGCTCTCTGTAGCAGCGAATAGTGTTTCTATTCAGTTGCTATGTTCAATGGTAATATAGTGCAAAAACCTACCACAATTACTAAATACATTAAAAAAAAATATACAAATACATGTGATAGTTCCAGTTTCATGCCAAAGGACAGTCTCACAAACAGTTTGGAAATGAGAACAAACTCAAGTGTGTTTGATTTTCAGGCTGTAAATCCCTTGTGAAAAGTGCCCTTTGCTCCTGGGGTGAGATCTCTCTCCGATCTCTCTCACATACAGAACAGAGCCATATTATTGCTCAAAATGAATCAGAACTACAGGTACATTAACAAAAGTTTTAAGTTCACCTTGAGTATTTTGACTTGTGATTGTTCTTGAGTGAATCCATGGAATGTTTTGACCTTGTGCAAAAAGGAGGAGAGAACACTCTTCTCTCCTGACAGTTTTTTAATGCGTTCATGTGGCACGCATATCGCCAGCCTGCTGCTTGTAGCAGAGCATCATGCTATGATTTCTGCCGGGGTTTTCCGCACTTTTAAAGCCTCTGGAGAGTAATTCTCCATCTGATCGGCTTCTCTCTGTTTCCACAACAAACAGTCCTGCAGGGAAAATCCACCGCTCCCCAAGCTTCATACAAAAAGTCCCTGTGACAATCTTTGTCCTTAACACGTGGTGTAGAAAGTCCCCCGTGCCACTAGGGGTCCTCTTCCATGTCGTCCAGGTTGGGAGCCATGATGAAGTGTTTGGGGTAAATGAGACTGTGCTCGTCTGCATACTCCTCCCAACGTGCGTCGTCGCTCTCATGGGTGATGTAGCGCTCGCCTCGCCGTGTCTCAAACTCCCTGAGGTCCAACCATGTCTGATAGTCCTGAGGAAAAGAGATATGGACTTTTAAATTCAGTCAGTACTTTGTTTATTTAATTGTTTTATGCAATTTAAAATAGTTTGAGTCTGTATGGCTACAGGTTTTCAACTCCATCTGTATATGAATGGTTAGAGGAGTCAGTGTCCTTGTAGTAAGAACCATGTTGGACATTCAGAGAGTGCAAACTGCAAAAACCGGATATTAATTGATTTTGATTGATCTCACTTCTGTTGTTATTCTTTATTTCTTTTACTCATATTTGGGGTAATTCTGTGCTATATTTTAACTACAGTTACAAGGGATTCAGCAGGTGGGCTACATCTGGACACATGTTTTTCAGCCTTTGTTTGCACCATGAAAAGTCTTAGTTCCTGTTTGCACTGTAACCACTGTTTTATAGAAAACAATCAGTATCAAAACATGATTATTATTAGGAAAGATATCGATATCCTTGGAAAGTGTAATGCACACTGACATCAGTGATAACAGTGAAGAACAAGTGTGATTTGTGATAGAAACTGTCAATTTAAAGGGTCAAAAACTATATATGTCACCTGTAACCAGGGATGGCTGAGACACTTGTCCACGCTGTACCTCTTCCTCATCTTGACTTGGAGAAGATTGTTGATCAGATCTGTGGCTGTGAGGGAAATAGATCATGTGCAGACTGTGTCAAGAAACGGATCTTACAGCATCTCATATCAACAGCATACAACAGGAAGTGACTTGTTCACAGGAAAAGATAAAGATCAGCAGTGTATAAAAACAAGAACAAGGGTTACTTTAGTTGGTTTACTACGCATTAGCATCAACACCTTCACCAGTTGTTTTCACCTTGTAATATATGTCCCACTCTATGTGGGCGGAGCTTCACCTAGGGCAGCTGCGGAGATGTGAAAGTGATTCATTTCGACCACAGACAAAGACAAGTCAGAGAAAAGTTCATGCGACCCAGACGTGTAGGTGGGGAGGACAACACTGAGGCTACATGTCTGAGTATCAGTTTGACACGAATATACAGGTGCAACCAGGCCACCAAGAGTTTACAAGAGTGGAGGACAAACTAACTGTCAGATTAGATTGATCATTGGTGAATTTTTGGATGTTTCCAAGTAAAGGAGCAAACAAAAGAATTACCCTCTGTAGAGATGTCCTTCCAGGGCGTAGGTGGGTACATGAAGGCGGCGTTCTGAATCTGATCATTAATGTCCTCATCCTCGTTAAAAGGGAATGTCCCGCTCAAGCTAACGTACACAATGACTCCCACTGACCACATGTCTAAGGAACGGTTGTAGCCTTTACTGCGCAGCACCTCTGGAGCCAGGTAAGCTGGAGTGCCCACTACAGACCGCCGGAAAGACTTCTCGCCTATGATACGGGCAAAGCCAAAGTCACACAGCTTCACCTGGAGAAAGACAGAAAAACGTGGTTGTCGTATACACACACACCCATATGGACAGAGCAGCAACATTGATACATATACTTTTTTTTTACCTGAGGAAAGGGCTCTGCAGAGGCCAGTAGTACATTCTCAGGCTTCAAGTCACAGTGAACAATGTTTTTGAAGTGCAGATGTCTCAAGGCCACCAGGATCTGTTGCAACCAAAACGCACAGATTTAGCTCCAAAAATCCAGATGACAATACATCTAAATGTTTTTTAGACCAGAGTCTAAATATTTTAATGTAAATAGCATATAGTATAAACAGAGTAATGTTTGTATAATCCATGCAGTAGAATTTATGGTGCTGCCATGTGGAAAAATCACAGCAGTATAAGCATGCTAATGCCCTTAAATACTTCCATCTTGACCAGTACCTTCACATAAAGACATATGATCTCATCTCATCATCCCATCTATATTCACGAGTGCTGGCATAAGCTAGCGCTGCACGCATGTCTGCCTATGGCCCTGTACCAAAACCACAGCGCGTCTGGCTCGCCTATCTTGACCCTGGCATTGACAGAAGCCTTCCCGGCCACATCAGAGCCAGGCCAGCCACAGCTAATGGGGCCGTTGTTAATGGTCCCGCTCCTGTTTGGGACCCGGGATCCGCAGAGGCCCAGGGCCCTGCTGCTCTTCTAATCAGCCCACAAAGCCACCAGCGTGCTGCAGGCTGTAATCCACAGCCAGGGAGGAGGCTGTGATGCCATGCAGACCAATCCCATAAACAATCCCCCCACCCACCGCCGACCCCGACACACACACAAATCAGCTCACCACAAGAATAAACAGGCCCTGGAGCTGGAGCACAGACTCACTCACAGTGGGCTAACACACCCCGAAAACAGAAGGGAAGATACAGAGAGAGAGTGAAGGGAACTGATGATGGAAAATAAAGATGGAAAAATGCAGTGAAGGATGGTGCAATTTAAGTATAAAGTGTGGAAAGGCAAAGACACATGCCGTAATCTAATCGATTAACAGTTTATTTGACAATGACCAGCTGCCTTCAGAGAGAATATAGTAACAACAGGCTACGGATCACTCTAGTGAAGGTCAGCACGTGCAAGAGAAGCATATTTCCGCAAACACAGACCTGTGTGACGAGGAACTTGGTGATTCGTTCGGGCAGTTTGCTCTTCTCGCTGGACAGGATCATCTCCAGCATGTCACCGTGCAACTTCTCCATGACAACAAAGACCCGCTCTGGCGTCTCGAACATACACTCCAAGTTGACGATACCTGGGTGGTGCAGATTCTGAAGAAAAGCAGAGAATGACATCAAGTTGAAATTTTCTGCTTTCATAGAACTGTAATGGTCTGTAACATAGAGACAAAACAAAGAGCTGTTAAAACGGACAGTACTCACTATCCTTTGTAACACGTTATTATGCTATAAATCACTTTAGCTGTTTGGTGGATTGTGGTAATTACCTGTAATATGGCCACCTCGTTCCTCAGTTGGCTCTCCTGCTTGGTAGGAAATCTCATCTTGTCAATAACTTTGATGGCCACATCTCTGCCGCTCTTTCTGTGTTTGCCTACGATATGATGGGACACGGTAAAATGAATATAACTTTAATAGAATTCACAGTGGATCTATAGTATCTAAAAGGTATGTAGTACCATATAAAAAAGAGAAACTTACCTCCATACACAATGCCAAACTGGCCTGACCCCAGCACCTCATCAGAAAATATTTGGTACACCGAGGCAATGTCCTACACAGATAAATTGCATTGTTACTTCATTATGGTATTTTGCTTTTACTTGTGGAAACATTCAGTTAACTTTCCATGCTGTCATTGGCAATCCGTAACAGTTACATCATCTAAAGCCTGGCTAAACTGCTGTTCCTCCAAAATGTTTTCTGGTATTGCCAAATATTTAACTTTCACTCAATGCAGAAGTGGAACTAAGACAAAAATCCCTTGACCAAAAAAAAAAAAAAAAGTCTGCAGCTTCCCCATTTGTGCAACATAAAAAGCTTCCAATGGAGGTTTTAGTGAAAGACAGTAGGATACAATTTCTGATGTTACCACAACAGCTACTTTAATAGCACATGAATGCATGCATGTGCAGGCTGTGCTGGGAAATTGTGCAACAGCATCTCAGAAAAAAAAAAAAGAAACCCTGCTCACCACATTCTCCTGGATCTGGCAGTTGGACACAGATATGCTGATGGACAGCTCTTCTGGAGGAGAAAACACATGATGTTTCCACATTCAACAACTGAAAAGCGCCACTTTACCGGTGCATAAAGCAGTCAGTCAGTCCTTAAGTGATTGTAGTCAGAGGAACATTGCTCACATACTAGTATTTTTTTTTTTTTACAACTTTCCTTCTTATCACAGCTGCATGCAATAAGTCACAGCCCCACATAATGAAGCATTTTATTACACAATAAATTGGCTATCAAATTGATTTGGGAAGCTATGTGTGACAGAATGGTGCAAGTATGCATTGCATTTCATAACTTGGAATTTAGACAGCGGCAGGGGCTAATTCTGCACGATGAATAGAAAGTACAAAACATGATGTTGTGATCATTAAACTAATACAAAAATGTTATTTTCATCCTGGAAAAATGACATAAATTACATTTGTAGATTTAATATTAATATCATGTACAAGTTCCTCTACCTACACTTCATAAATGAAGGAAGATCTCCAGAGCATGGACAGTTTTATATGCTGTGCTGTCATTTCACAACGTTGAAGTGGTTTCAAAAGTGACAATGAATTTCTGTTTCAGGTCCACAGCTTGTTGTGACTGCCTCGTTTTCTAATGTCATGCACATGCTTAAAATCCTTTGCTGCTAATGGGATGACTCTCATGTGGATCTTCAATATAAATCAGTCTCTAACCATAGAACCTCTAATAATGGTTCACAGGCTCAGATATAATTCCTGTCTTTAATGTTAAGGACCAAAACTTCTGAGTGAGTCTCAGTTTCTGTCATGTCAGTTAATTTTTCAGTACTGTCAAATAGAGACTTACTTTACAGCCTCACTTCCTTTGGCCTATAGACACTGACGCAGGGCTTTCCCTTCCTGTCGAAAGTTGATGGAAGGTTTTTTTTGTACCACCTTCACCAATAAGGTCTCCTACTTTTAATTTGGACAAATGTCAAACTTTCAACACACATAATCGAGGCTCTTGTCATTTGATGTGGCTCTAGTAGGTACTTTGGCCTCGCGCTGCTACAGGAAATAACCTGCAATATTACAAGTCATCACTGAAAAGGGAAATGCAAACCAAATAGAGTCATATTCCTCATTTTTATATATATTACAAATACCAGCCATCTTCACCACCTTTTATATATTAAAATATGCCCTCATTCTAGGCTTTGCAGCCATAAAGAAAGACTATATGTGTGAAAATAACAAAATGTAATCCTTGGGCCCTTGAAATCCTATTGTGAAGTTTATCAACAATTAATTGTCTTAAATCTCCAAAAACAAATCATATTTTCATATTCATTCATTCTCAGTGTCACCCCGAGACAGATCAGCCAGAGAGCTGTGAAATATTCTACTTACTGTGATCTTTGCCCTGTCCAGCAGCACTGGCCACACTGGGCTGGGGGGTGACGGGCATCAGGGCCTGTCTGATGGCCTTCTCCCAGCCCTGGGCTACCTCCATGCCGACTCCCGAGGCAGCCAGAGCGGGGCTGTGGTAGTGACTGCCGTTGTTCTCTCCTACATAGTAGACCATTGTCGCTGTGATGATCTCAAAGCAGTGAGGGTTGCTGCCCTGGGCCAGATTACTGTAGTCTCTGGACTGTTCGACCTGGAGGATCTCGGACAGAGGGATTTCCTGTGGGGGTGTAGGGAGGCGGTGATAAATAAGAAAATTTATTTTCTTTCTTTCTTTCTTTCTTTCTTTCTTTCTTTCTTTTCTTTCTTAGTATTTCATTATTCCTCTGCGTGTTGTCTGCACAGACAACCATACACCTGAGACATAAAGGTAGAAACAAAAAACACTCTTCAACAAAACAAAGCAGTAAGAGTCCAGCAGCAGATGGGATCAAACACTCTCACGCTTACACATGCTTATTCACAAATATGCATATGTGTATTATACAGGTTGTATGTCCTTAGAAAGATGGAAGAGAAAAAATGAAAAAAGATACGAAAATACCTAAATGGATAATTAGATCAATAATATTTTTTAAAAATTTGATGAAAAATAATCCAATAATTAATGTTAACCAGATAAAGGAAGGTTTAGAAAGTTAATAACAAATAAAAATAGATGAATTAAGTGATAAAAATGAATACAAATACATGTTCCTTCACTTTACCATGTTGTCAGGTTTCTTTGTTGCCTCTAAAAAGCTCAAACTTACTGATTTAAACATTAAAGTAACTTTAAAAGTAACACCACTTTTTAAATTTGGTGATTATCTTTTTTGAAAACAATTTTTGTATCAGAGCAGAAAACTGCTTCAATTAAAGATGCGGTGCTCAGCATACACAATAACATGACAGAAACAATATTAATACAGGTAGTAACACTCACACACAAAGTCTCCACACTCAGTTGCTGGGTGTTGATTAAATAATCCAAGAACTAACTTTCTCCTTTCCTCTTCTCTGTCTTATGAGCACATACAGAATGGACAGTTGCAGCACACTTTAAAAGTCCCCCCTTCCCCTTCATACTCACTGTCAAATCAAAGAGAGGAGGGAGGGTCAAAAATTAAAAAACACACAGAATTTCCAGCCAATGGGGGCTCACAGAGGCACACGCTGTCCCCTCCGCGTGGCTCACCACAGAGTATCAGATGAAGTGCTTGTGGTTAGCGGGGCCGGGTCACGTGAGCGGGGCCCTGCGGCGGCCGAAGCGCTTTGGTTGCCTGATTACAAGGCAGGGCCAGCCAGAGGCCCCATCTGAGCACGAGCCGCTGGCGCTACCGCTAGCCACTGAAACGAAAGCCACTGCAACTGCTGTTCTTCTACAGGGCAGTGTGTGAGTTAGTGTGTGTGTGTTTGTGTGTGTGTGTGTGTGTGTGTCTGCAACGTTTGATTGTGACAGGACTCAATCTGGCAGAGACAGAGAGAAGCCCCCTCACCCCATAAAAGGTTCTTCAGAGAAAGCCACAAGTACAGGGGTCTCATCTTCAAACGAGGAGCCGTTATGGCTTCCAAATGGTGAAAATGGCTGCCATGCCTGGCAAGCAAGCCACCACACGACCACCACTAATCAGATTGGAGGTATAAAGAAAAGGGGAGGACAGTGGCCACACACTGATGAGCAGCAGCAGGCTAGAAACTTCAGAGAAATTAAAGGAAAATGCCCAAGACGGGCGATTTCCCGCATCCACACTGAGCATATGGAGAATCTGTGGTTTCTGAAATGAAACCCCTGAAAGACCCTTTTTCTACTGTATCTACATGAAATCATCTCACATTATCTATCACGGATAAAAATGTACTGCTCTGAGTCTGAAGCAACAGGCATGGAACAAAGACAAAACTTTTGAGCATGAAAAGACAGCATTTACAGCTAGCCTTCAATTAGCCTCCTGAAGGTCTTAAACGAAGCTGAGTGCCAAGTTGATAATAAAGAACCACATAAAGCTGCCTGTAAACACACCCTGAGGAGTCAGTCCCCAGTGAGGTTTCCTCTCCATGGCTTTAGTGGCAGGGGATGCAGGGTGTGACAGAATAATTGGGAAAGAAGGGTGAGGGACTTAAGACTTTTTTTCAGGCTTGTTTCACAACCAGTATAAAGGAGAGATGGTAAGAAAGAAGAAAAGAAGCACTGTATATACAGCTGCTTACAAAACCACCCTTTAACTCACACACACACACACACACACACACACACACACACACACACTCAAGAGTGAACGTGCTGGCTCTCACCATGGAAACTCTACTGCATCCTACACACCATCCCACTGCAACACTGCTCTGACCACAGCTCAAGGAGGTGTTAAAGTCTCAAAACATACAGAGCAACATGAACAATAAAATGATTGCAACCCCCCACTCTACACACGCACACACACACACACACACACACACACACACACACACACACACACACACACACACACGTGCATACACACTCATACACAAACAACCAGCAACACACATGTGGAAGTCTTTACCTTGCAAGCTGTAGTTCCCTCCCTTAGTTCTCAGTGTGTAATTACTGTGCTATTAAGCCCCTGCGGCAGTGTAATGACTGACTACGGTGCTGGCACCGAGCGGGAAGTGTCACACACTCTCCACAACTGATTTTACACATCGAAATTACAGCGTTTCATTCACTCACAGTCACCACTGACTTTGAGATAAGGTTGTGCAATGTACGTATGACCTGATTTGGTGGGAATTTTGGATTAACAAATGACATCTTTTATTTCAGTAAGCGTATATTAAATACTTCTCTAAAACTTTTTTTTTTTTTACATGGGGATCCCTATAGTCAAAATTTTTGACTCTTTCTTCAAAACCCCTTCAAATGTCCCGTCTAACGTGATACTGCGTGGCTACATGTAGCAACTGTTAGTGACTGTGTCCTTTCACTTCATGCAGTGAAAAGACCAGGCTGTAGGGTGAAAAACCACAGGGGAATTTTCACTGAGCCAAACTGACCTTATGAGTTTACAGTAGCAACACGACAGCCCTCCAAGCTGAGTCACAGAATATACTGCTTAGATTTTATTTACATACCTCTCAGAAGTGTGACAGAGATTACTCAAATAAGGATTTGAAAAAGTATCCCATCCTTAATGACTTCAGAGTCATTATGTTAGAATTGTAAAAGATTAGAGTTGTGGAGCTACATGAGGACTTCAAAGATATTATCACCATGGACTCCACATTGAATCCACTTCTATTAAACTGCGCAATTTTCTGGCATTTTAACAAATGTTACTGTGTGTTTCGTCCGGGGGACAAGACATGATTTTCCAAGAACAAGGCAGAGATGACAGTTTTATGCTCACTTTGTAGAACTTGGCACCGGTGTCGTTCTGGAAGAGACTCAGACTCTTGCTGTCCAGCCTCCAGTAATGTCTCTTCCGCTGTTTAAGGGGAAAACAAACAAACACCAGGTTAGTCTAAATGGCAGATTATTGCCAATATTGCAGTAGTCTAAAAATGTTGTCTCTCAAGCAAAATACCTTCTGTGCTGAATTCAGCACATGCACAGCTTTGGAGGAGTTTTCCCCAGCATACAGGCTAAGCACAGCCCATTTCAGACTGGCCTCCTCTGCTCAGCTTTTGGGGTTATCAGTCTTACCAGGTTGTCCCTGCTCGTATAATGAACCATCCAGCCCTCCTTCACTACAGTGGAGCTCCGCCTCTTGGTGTGTTTGATGGACTGGACCACCCGCATCAGAGGTATGTTGCTGCTAGTGGAAGGACTAGAGACATGCACACATAAAAATAAGATTTTCCAGATTTAATATCACAATTGCTGACTGATTTACCATTCAGGGTAATGAAACAGTAACTGATTACATTTTAACTGATCTGTAGTCAGTTAATGAGACCTTTTATATTTGCTTTTCTAAGCAGCCAGTGTCTGGTAGCTCTTTCCTGACAGAAATCCTGCACAGGACGTGATGCATTGTATGTTTGCAGCAGTGGTAACACTGCTGCTGTAGAATAAACACAGGAATTGGGCAGTTAGACCTGGTGGTTTAAAACATAACCACAAAGTCTCCGGTTTGAATCAGGACGGTGACCTTCGCTGCATGTCTTTCCCCTGTCACTCTTTACTGAACTGTCCAAAACAATAATATATGAAAACAGAAGTGGGTCACTGAGATGAGCACTGACAGCCGTGGTGGCTGAAGTAAACAGTGCCACCTACAGAGATTTACACATCATCAACAGAAAAAGTAAAAGTGAAAAGACCTGTAATTACATCAGCATCTTCATACCTAATAGTCTTGATGGGCTCTTCGTCCTTCTCTCTATCCAAGAAGGGTGAATCCATGTCAAACATCCTCTCATCTGGTGTGGAGGGTTCCTCTGGGTCGTCCAGTCCTCTGCCGCCATCCAGATCACTACTGTCCACCTCCATAGTGTCCATGGTAGTGTCTGAATCTGGGCCTGGGCTGGCTGGCTCTATACATGTACATGAAATATGCAAACATTTGAAATCACAAATATTAAGAGATACGTATACCACTGTCACTGTGAAATTGGATGTACAACTCACCTCCATTGAAGTCCACCTCCCCTAAACAGTCTCTCGGTACCTTTGAAGCACACCGCTTATGACAGTTGAATCTGCAATCTGGCAGATGAAATTAAAAAACATGAATTAGTAAAATGTTGCCAAAATGTTCTTTGATCAACCACCATGTTGTGCTGAAACACACTCTCCATATGTAGTCCTACCTTTACACTGCATGCCCTGGCGAAAGAGGCCCTTGAGCAGACGCTTGCAGTACTGGCAGATAGTGGGCCGAGTGTAGGTGTGAATGGCGAAGGTGTGTGGCACTTTAACCCGTCCCAGCACCATCTTCTCCATCCAGATCGGCCTGCCGCTCCAGGACAGGATCCGCTTCCCTGCTTCCTGATGGGTCCTCTGCTGCGGGGGTTGGAAGGATGGGAAAAAAAAGGGGGAAGATGGAGGGATGTTAGGAAGAATTAAAAACCATATGCATGGAAGACGCAAAGGGAAAAATACAGGAAGAACAGTCTCAAAGGGAGTATTTGAGTGATAGGGAAAGACAGAGTGAATAATGACATGGCAGTAGAAGAAGAGAAAGAAATCAGTGGAAAAGGAAGTCTGTCACACTGAGTTAGCATGACTTTGCATAGTTTACACGATCCCAGTGGTCGAAGCAAGGATATTAGATTTGTCATGTTTTACCATGTATGAGCATTTACTCCTGATTTTATAAGAATAAATCTCGCAGTCTGGAAGCTCCTGACAGAAACGAGAAGGAAGTTCTCTTCGTTTTTGCCAGCAAGTGAGCAAATACGTAAACTTGGACTTCAATGGACTTTTAACATCATTAGCATAATTATATTTCCTGATGACCTTTCGTGGGGACACAGACGAGAGGAGAATTTTCAGTGTGGGCTTATGCAAAAGCTGTTTCATAAGACCTCACTGAGGATCTCTCCACAGAGCTCAGTGCAGCTCAATTCAATTTTCTGCATCAGCGGTGTTCTACAACAGGGCCCAGGAGATTCACCCATGGAAAAGAGCCAAATTTGATAAGTTTAGAAACGTTTAACAGCACGCAGATTGACTGCCTAACATTCTTGGCCAATTCACCTGGCTTCCAGGCTGATTTAGGATGATGTCAAAACTCCAGCCAGCTGGTTGTGTGTGTGAGAATAAACAAGACTAGATCAAAACCTAGTATCTGGCTGGACCGCGTACGGTCAATGTGTGAAATTGAGCTGAAAACTGTTGTGGAACTGCTGTAAATAACTGACGTCATTGTGTCGTATTTGCGTTCTGCCTCGTGTCAGCTGGTTTCACTCCTTTATCTGTTTGCTTCTCTTCTACTCTCTGTGCTCACATGTACAGTATTTTAATACAGTCGAATTCCCAGTGCAGCTGTTCTCATTTAAATGTTTTAGTGTTTCTGTTGTCAGACAACGGAAAAAGTTTGAAATAGTGACTGAAACGAGGCCCGTTAAGATTACATGTTAACTTACATGTTAACTTAAATGTTAGCAAAATCAGCATACACATAAGTTAAAGACAAAGACTGGTTTCGATTATATTTACTTTTAAAATGATCGCTCAACAGAGTACAGAGTATTTTTCTTATTTTGTCACTCACAAAACTGCTGCTCCACTTCTTTGCCACTCACTGAACAGAGTAGAGGGCATTACTGGAAACTTTCTGCTAAGTAGGCTGGTTTGTCCAAAAAGTCACTAAGTGCTTTTTTTTTTGGAAAATAAAAAGTTTCTAATCTATGTTGGTAACACTGCAGGCTGTAAACACCCCCCTAATAGAACTATTTGCGTCAATTCATTTTGAAAGAGCAACGCGCAATGTGGAAACTCCAAGCATGTGTGTGTATATGTCACACCTCCACCAATCAGAACTCACCTCATCCAGGACGACCACCGCATTCTCAGCAGGTACCGGTCGGGGGACAGAGAGAGATGGTGCAGGCAGTGAGACATTGGACAGTCGCCTCTTCCTGACACCAGTGCAGTTATTTGGGATCTTAAAGGCGCAGCGCTTGTGGTAATTTAGCCCACATCCTGAAAACGTGAAAACACAGATGACATCAGTCACAAAACCTATGAAAACAGCACACAGCCTGTGAGGTGAAAACATATTTCATTTTGCATATCAGCCACAAGATGGCCCCACTGATGAAAAGACTTGTTTGAGAGAATTTATGACTGTGTGTTTCACTGGTAAATAAATCAACTATTTCAATTCAATCATAGTCAGACGGGACTTCAAATGAAGCCTAATGACAAGAATATGAAAGAGTATGATTCAAATCTGCTCCAACGATGACAAAAAAATGAAAGCGAGGCGGCATGCCATAACTCCTCTGGGATCTGAATGTCAAGCATTTCACTGGCTCCACTGGCCGGACCAAATCTTTCTTGTTTGCTTGTATCTCTCTCTGATACATTCTTGCGTTCAGAGGTGTAGCATGTTTGTGTGTGCAAGTGCGTGTGTATGGAAACAGTAGGAGGCAGGCTGGATTTCTAAGAGTAAATCCCTGAGATACAGTAAATGGTCTTATAGGACTCAAAGGCTTGGGAAAGACACAGTGTGTTCTGTAGTTTTTCTGTCCAGGTGTGCGTGTGTGTGTGCATGTGTGTTTGTTCCTAACCTTCACATTTGAGCCCCTGCCGGACCAGACCCCATAGCATCTCCCCACAGTAGTCGCAGAAGGTGGGGGCCTTGTAGGAGTGGACAAAAAGGGCATGGGGTCGGATCTGGAAGTCTTCAACTGTTGCTTGAGCTAGAAACAACACACACGTGGTATAACTAAAACTTGGCAAAAGCAAAACAAATCTGGAAAATGGTTTTTGAAAGAAAGCTGAAGGATCAGAAGAAAAAAAAATATGAGAAACGATGACAAAAGAAAAGAAGAGAGCAGCTATTTATCACATGTATCTGGCAGCTATTTCATCCAGTTTTTAATATCAAAGCAATATCACACACAATATAGAATCTCACAGTGTGTGTGTGTGTGTGTGTGTGTGTGTGTGTGTGTGTGTGTGTGTGTGTGTGTGTGTGTGTGTGTGTGTGTGTGCTTGTGTTGGGAACATTTTTTTTTTAAAGAAAGCAAGGAAGAATCTCTTTGCCAGTTGCTACACTGCAAGCAATCTCTCTTATATGAGTGCTGTATCCACAGTGCTGCAGTAGAGGGCATCACATCTGCAGAGGCACAACTTCAATTTCATCATTCCTTGTATCAAAGTGAGAGGGCACACCCATAAGACACCAGAGAAATGCAGTATGATCATGTTAGATCAGTCCATCTTTGTTATTATGCACTTATTAGCAAATCCAACAGAGCCGTGAACACGTCTCTCTGTCTGTTTCTCTCTTATTCTTCCCCTTATTTTTCTGCTGTGTTGTGTCAAACAGACACGCTGAGCTCATTGCTGGAAGCAGGACTTGGTTAATCATGACTGTGAATCATCAAAGATGTGAAGATGAGTAATATATGGAGGTGACTGCTGCCAAACGTGTGTGTGTGTGTGTGTGTGTGTGTGTGTGTGTGTGTGTGTGTATGTCTGCGTGAAGCCTCTGTTCTCTCACAGCCTGCATTATCAAAGTGTTTCTGTGCAATCATTTGACCAGTGACCAACAAGGGAATGGTTAATCTTTACACTCAGGTTAAGCAGCAAAACTTGTGTGTGTGTGTGTGTGTGGTAGCAATGATGATGTCATCCAGTGTGTGTTAGTTCATTCCCTTTGAGGTGATTCAACCAAACACATTCTTCTTGGGACAAGTGAGGACATTCTCAGCTGTTGTTGTTGTGATGAGATGCAGACTTGAACAACAAATATGACATTGGGCCAGTAAAAGAAAAGAAAAAAAAAAAGAATCTGCACATGCTCCATATAAAATAAAGAGAAAACATCCTTGAAGACAGAAAACAATTTGAGATTCAGAGAAAAAAAACACTTAGATGTCACAGAATTCCTCTGAGGCAATAAATAGCCAGTCACACTGAATCAATCTGATCTGTTAATTTGACAAAGAATGCGACATTTCCACAGACAAGGGTTAATGTTAGGGTCAACCCAAACAAAGAAATTAACTTAAATATTTTTCTTAAAGTCACGGACTGGGATCACTGCAATAAAAGCCTCCGATATATTCATATTTAGGCACATCAACAATGCAAGGAGAGATGATCTGAGAAGACTCCATTTCAGATAAATGTGACGGCTGGTGGGGTGAGGTTTCGTAGTTTGGCTTTTTATTTGAAAGAGCTCAGGCAGGTCACATGTCATGGGGCAAACATAGCTCCCTGGCACCGACACATGAAAGGCAGCATTCATGAGCTTTTTCACACACGTCTGCAAAACAACTGGCTGCCTCTTAGCAGTCGCACTGTTATGTAATGCTTGTCGCGCTTGTTAGCATCCAACAACGCCAAACATAAACTCGACACGTTGTTTTTCGCTGCACTTCTCACGAGCGGAGAGGCTCACATGAATGCACTATCTGTTTGCTTTGAGGCTGCGGGTTTCCATTTGGAGGCCACAAGTTTCCATCTGACAAAAACAAGTTTGCCATATTTATGACAAACAGAAGGTGTTATAAAATATCAATTTCACATCGTCAGCAGTGGTGAATGAGGAGCTTGTGCAAGTGGGTGGGAATTTTAAGGGAGTGAAAAACAGAACAAAGGGACAATCGGTCAGGCCAAACCTCCAACCTCATGGGCCGAGATGGCCTGTGCAGTGTCCGCTGTGTCCAGGGCTGCCCCGCACATCAGAGCATGTTTACACTCTGTGGGTCTACTACAATCACTTACTGCAGGAAAAACAAGCCCTCTCCTTTGAGCCCACAGCCAAGAAAAAGCCACTTCTGCCTCCCTCTCGCAGCGAGAGAGATATTCAGACCATCTCTCTCCCACAGCCGCAGAATCCAACAGCAGGTTGGTTAGGCAGCGCTGAGCGAAAAAGATGACAGGAGACAAATTGTGGGGCAGAAAAGGTTCATATTTTCTGTGAACCAAATGAAAGGCTTGGGAATGTGGAGCTCTCAGCTCGTGTTTCTCAAACAAAGATCAAGTGTATGACATCGCAAAGCCCCTCTTGTGAAGAGGGCCAAGTTTATTGAGTGTGGGATGAAATAAATTTTTTTTAAAAACCCAGCATGTGTTGCATATGTAGCAAATCTAAGATCTTCAATGACGCTTTTCATCAAGTATATCTCAGGCCGTGTCTAGCTCCGCTGGTGGAGCTTACACCTGCAGATGGATTTGTTGAGGTAGGAGGGATTAGAAGAAGAGAGCGCCGAGGAGGGAAAGAGAGAGCAACAAAGACTGCAACAAAAGACAGCACAAGACAAACACAGACAGTCAGAAACAAAAAGAAGGAAGTTCTCCAGTCTTTAGTCTACATTCCTCAGCCCTGATGCCTGAAGTATCCTCAGATCCTGAACCTATACAATCTAAATCCCTGCAAACAATACTCCCAGCCCAGGAGAGAGGAGGAGATAGTCAGCACAGGTGGTGTCAGGTGTTTCCTCGGGGAGGCAGATGGAGCAGGAGAACAGATTAGAACGGAACAGATTCTCTAAGCCATTTGTTGGTCTCTGCACCGCACAGGAAGCTGATTCATTCATTGCAGGAAATGACAAATAGAAAAAACCAAACACCTGTGTAGCTGCTACAAAGGTGGCTAATCTGAACTTTGATGAGGAAGAAATACACAAAAACTGAAGAAAAGAAAACACAAATTTATCATAAATGTAAAAGTAGGTGAGTAAGTGGGTTAAGTGTTGAGTCATTCGCTTATCGTAAAATTGCAAAAGGACAATATCAAAGTTTGAGTGAGTGATTACAGATTACTCTGATAGTAAATATCTGATCTACTGCACAAGTGCCCTTGAATAAGACACAACAGGCAGCGTTTACTGGAAGGTGTGTCAGCTATGACGAGGCACAAAAAAAGTAACAAGTGAAGCTTCATCCAGTTTATTAGTTTTTAGGCAACTGTTTGGACTTTAAAACACTGGGTTTATACTGCGTGGTGGAATTTTAAGTTCATTTTTCTCCTGTTTTTGGAAGTCTGAAGAAGCATGACCTTCAGCCTGTTTGTTTTGGACTTAAACAGACTTAAACGAATCTGTGCCAACAAAGTCACTGTATTACAGTTTGTATACAATCTTTGCTGGAATTTCAGCTGACATGAGCAGAAGAACATAAATGAAGAACCGCCAGCGTCACTGGTTTTACAGTCTCAGTTTTTATATCATACCTCTTGCCCTCATTGAAATACATGGGTTAAATAGGCTCCAGCTGGGTTAGCACTTTGGATGTTTGAAACTTACCTGGATATCTAATATAAATTTAGAAACACCCTGTGACTCGATGATTAGAAGCTGTGGTTCATTCTGTGCCTTTATATTCGCCAAGAGCAACAGTTGACAAGGTCTGTTGAGTCAATGTTTTTGTTTTCTTAACAAAGATGCTATAAAGTAGCAATTCATCATTTAGTACAACTTCATGTTTTAGCTAATCTGAGATGCTGGAGAAAAAGGAGTGTGCAGACATTGTCAAGGCAGCAAGCACACTAACAAATCAATCTGTAGCTGCAGTGCACTTTACATACCAGACAGCACCACCTCAATGAGATCTCCTTCATGGATGTCTTCCGCTGAGGTCAGCCTCTGCAGGATGTTCTCGTCATTTAAGTCGTGGCGGAACAGCAGGATTTTGTCGTACATGCCAAAGAAGCCACACTCTGGGAACTGGAGAGAAGTGAAGACAAGAGTTGAGATATAAGTATAGTGAAGATGCTAGTGAAATACTGAGCCTGAAAAATAATGACAGAGGTAATGTGTGAGCAAGTGATGGTTACTACATCAATCTGATACTGATACTGAAAAGAGAGAGAGATACTGATCAACTCCACTGGTCTGACTTGTACTCACAGTTTGTTCTATAGTAAACCACCTGTGAATACACACAAGCACACACACACACACACACTCATATGACATCATTTCAAGTGGCTTAAATCACGACCAGTGTGAGGAGTATTTTGAACCCAGTGGCTCAGGAAGAGAGCTCCTGCTCAGACCTCCTTTCCTCCCTTTAGACAGATCTATAAACTAGGAGTCATAAAGTCCAGGTGCTCTGCTTTGTGCCTGTTTTATGAGCAAATCCTGAGTCTTTTATTTCACATTGTTTCCATTAATACAGTGATATCTTAATGCAAACCGGGAATAATCATGATAAACTTCTCCAATAATTGTTAATGTACTCAGTGTACGTTTTAATAAGTGTGCACAAAGAAAAATCCGCTTCTGGCCCAGACCTCCAATTCAGCTGTCGCCGTCAGTGCTGATGTCTGGGCCAAACCAAACCTAGACAGACCAGGTCATGAACTGGAGCTGAGTGCGCCGATGTAAAGTCACGTGATCAAGGAAGGGGGCGGAGGGGAGGGTGGGAGAGGGAGACGTTGAGGTTGAGGAGGAGGAGGAGGAGGAGGAGGAGGTAAACATCCTGAGAGGAGTAGAGGAGAATCAGCGCACAGGAAGTGCAGCGCCAGTCAATACTGAGTCACTTCCTGTTCTAAGGGCAGCTTGTAGCCTCTTGGAGAGCAATGTTCTTGTCACAAGCATAGGGCCTCAAAAAAATTTCACTGACACATAAACATAAAGTGTACAGTAGATGTGTAATTATCTACACAAAACCTAACCTCAAATAGAAAAATCCAGTTTTGAATACCAGAGGAAAGGCTCTCATCGCCTGCACAGCATACCATCACTTTTTTTTGTGGAAATAGCCGATCAACAGTAGATGGATGTTCAGAGCCGTCCTGCGTGGTAGGAATTCGGGAATTGAAGCTCAGTAATTTCACACCAAAGCATGAGCCCAGTCTCAATTCCAAGCAGGCTGGTACTGTAGGATCCACCAGCTGTTTCCCCCTGAACCAGGGTCACACACAATGGGCCGCGTAGAACAATGCCACTATGGCCCAGGAGCACCGGGGTTGGCACAGTGTCTGGGCACGGGACACATAAGACACCTGCAGTCTTTTAATTGCCAAGAAACGCATATACAGAGACAGCGAGACAGATTGATGGCTCAGGAAAACATGGGTGTATTAGATCACTCGCATCAACAAAGACAGAGGAATGAACCATCAGAAGGAAGGAGTGTAATGCTGCACATAAACTGACAACTACAGAGGTTTGCTGCGGTACTTGACGCAGCAGAGTGGACTAGTGGTCGGACAGAGAGATGGTCCAACACAGGACGCTGATCTCCCTGTGGAAGAGGATATGTCCCTTCAGGGATCAGTGAAGTACATCAAAACACAAAACATCACTTCTTGTACAACGATTGACTTTTCCCATGAAAGGCTTAGAATAGCATTCATGAACCATCTATCTTGAAAAAATATTTTGAGTGAACTTTCCCTTTGTATAAATGTGGCCATTCAAATTAAAATGAATGAGAGTTGAATTTATGCAATATCCCCCCTCCAAAATTATGCCGATAAATGAGGTTGATACTGAGGTTGTGCAAGGTTAAAGCTCGTAATCTAGAGTGAAATAATGTAAGTCAGGTGTAATACTCTGTGTTCCTATGGGATTTCTCCCAGTGCAACACTTTTCTCACCTGCATACAGCTCTGTAGGTCTGTCTGTGTCAGCCCTGTGTACCTAACCTCTTCCCCCGGTGCATGCTGGGAAAGCAGAATAAGTTTGTTGATGTAAATTGTTTGAATTCAAAATGAGAGCAGAGAAAACAACAGAGACAAACACGCACAATTAACTCTCACACACACATACACCTTGCCATGATGATACTGATGAGTTGATAATACTGTGATGTAAACAGCCTTCACAGGCATGTGGTGTGTTTGTGTGTTAATGTGTTTTGAAGATACTTTGTGACAGTTTATCTTATAGATAACCCCCCTGCCCCCACACACACACACACACACATCCTTCCTTATGTTTTTATGTTATAACTTCCATAGGAGTGGTAATTTAAACATCTGTATGAAGATTATTTCAGCTGCATAAAAGCCATTGTAGCATGGGAAGGTAATAGTTATACAGAAACAGTCTTGCTCAGCTCTAAGTGAGGCACAGGGCACGTGCCTGTATAATGGAACATTTCCAACTGGCCCCCTCCTCCTGACATAGCTACATCCTAAGTCCTGTCACCCTCTGAGGTGATTAATGGTATGTGGCCCAAACCATCACCACCACAGGCAGGCCCGGGGTGGTGGTGGTGTATGTGTGTGTGTGTGTGTGTGTGTGTGTGTGTGTGGGGGAAGGGGGGCGGGGGGGGGGGTATCCTTCCTGAGCCGGCTGCAGTGTCATGGTGGGGTTTTCCTCCACTCGCCTGACACGCCTGCTCTCTAACACACACACACACAAAAATTGTGGTCCATGCCCAAATCCAGCCAGCTGGAGTCACCTCCTCTTGGCACCTCGTGCAACACTTTCCACTGTACAGAACAGGGTCCCATTCCAGTACAGGAGCATCTGCGGGCCAGCACGTAATGACTGCGAGGGCAGAGGACACTACTTTTTTCCAAGGTCCATTAAAGCAAGAGGAAGCCAGAGGTAGAAGAACAATAGATTGGCAGGTTTAGGGCACATTTTAACAGTGTGTTGTTCAGATCACACAGATAAAGTTATACTTGATGGTTTAACCTGTGGGGGAATGAATGCATAAAGCACAAATCCCTATATTCACACATTTCTCCTCCCTGCATGTAAAAATAAACCATTCACCTCCACCATGCTGCTGTACACATATGCACCCTCACACACCATCACCCACACATGCTACTGCATACATCTCTGAAGCCCATAGTGACTAAGCATGTCTTTTGTCATCCTCAAATCCATTCAGCCGAGCAGCCGCGACCACACACGCACACCAAAGACCCCGGCACGGAGGAGCTGTGTGTGAGGTCCACAAGTCAGGCTGGAAAGACGAGTGGAAAGGGGCTTTGCAGTAGTAAGCTTTTGTTAAACGAACTAATCCGCCATTGATAAGCTAAATCCTGTTATAAGGAAAGAGAGTGAGAGGCAGGAGAGAAGAGGAAAGACGGGACACGGTTTGGGTGTGGGAGGGTAGATCTGAAATATGGTCCTGTTTCGCTGGGAGCCAAAAACAAATGATCTCAAGACAGCCATGAAAAAAAGATCTGGTTTGAATAACCAACTGTGCCATTTGGCATTGAAGACTGTTGATGCTTTCTCTTGTATAGCTATTACTATCAGTTGCACTATAAAGCTAGAAATGATAAATTAGAGAAATGACTCATAAGTCATAACTCATTCATGTAAATGTAACGATAAATGACATTAACACTTGGGGAAAAAAGTTGTGGCTTGTTTTGAATGTTCCACTGAGTTTCTTTGCTATCACACTGAAAAAAAACACACACACAAAACCAATGTGTGGGCTGTCAGTCACAGGGGACAATAAGATCTCTTATCGAAATAGAATAGCATACAAATTATTTTGTGGTCAGACATTTGAGTTTTTGTGCAAGTGTGATGTGAGGCAGAGGTGGGTGGCCAAAGGGAAGCAGTGCTGAGAGCGGTGCACAAGCTCTGACAGATGGCCATGTGATTACAGTAAGGAAAAGTATGCTGCTTGACCTCAGTCTGCCTCACACCTTTATTAGTCTGGCAGCAGGCCAGACAGATGTGGAGAGCAGTTACAGTGTGCCCTGCTCCAGATCAGTCTATAGGAGCAAAGGGTTACATACATGCGTATGCGTAGCTTCGTAAACAACACTGCTCATAAAAACATCCATTCGTAGTGCTGCTCTTCGAAGAAGTATCACAGATAATATGCTAGCAAAATGGCTGCTACATGAGTGCTGTCTGTTATTTTCTTGAATAATCTTTCAATCATTTGGCCTTTAAATGTTCAGAAAATAGTAAAAATAAATAAATAAATAATTGTGACCACAGTTTCTTAGAGCTCAAAATCACATATCATCACATAAGACAAGGAAAAGCATCAAATTTTCACATTTGAGAAGCTGGAACTGTATTTATGCTTAAAAAATATCTAAATGATTCATATATTATCAAAACAGTTGCTTATTATTTTTTATTACATAATTTTTTATTATTATTTTATTATTTAACAGAAATTATAATGAATTACAATTTATGAAAATTCTTATAAAATAGTTTTTTCTTAAATGATTAATGGATTAATCGTTTTATCTCTGTGCTAATGCATCTTTTTCTTCATAGTTTTTCTCAGTCAGCCTTTTATTCACATCAGACCATCAACAATGGAGCTTTTCAAAAACACTCTTCAAAGTGGATGCATTTGAAAATGCCAGTTTTGTAATGCGGGAAAGGAAAGAGAGAGCTTTTCACAACTCTGTATGATTGTCATGTGACCACTAGCGTGGTGTTTTTCATGATGTTGACTTGCTGGCTTCTGCCAGTCTTAATTCTTGCTCTGTAAACATAAATATGACACAGCCTGAACTTCACATTCAGATAGAAATGAAAGCCCAAAAGTTCATTTTGAAAATGGAAGAAATACAGAGAGCGGTCACTATACAAAATAATATATTTACATTGGGAAAATAACCTAAGGTGTTTTCTTTTCGGAACCAATCAAATGCTGGCAGAGAATTTCCAGAACTCTCCAGGCATCTGACTGTGTGAGATAACTGAGTAACTAACATTGCTTCTTTCTGCATGTACCCAATATAAAATGTAAGCAATTTCTATTGTTTTGGCATT